GTCTCCAACTACAAGGTAAGATGACACTACATGACTAGTTATGCACTTTCCTGCATCCAAAATTGGAACTGTGCACCAGATTTTTGACAAGGTTTTTCCAGTTGTTTGAGTTTAGGTATTATAATTGTATGAGTATCAGAAAAATGATAAAACCTACATGTTTAAGATTTGCTCTGAAGTAGGTCTTTTGTTTTGCTATCCACCCAAATTTCATTTGTGCCCCTTCTGCCCAAAATGAGCCCTATATTGTTGACATTATGAGTTGGTACTAAGAAGCCACATTGATGCCATGTACAGGAACAGGAAGTATCTGCCCTGCAGTCCCTGTTGAGTGGCTCTCTGCTGCCTGGCATTCAGAAGTTACTGCAGACTATCAACAAGAACCTTCACAGAACTCAGGAGAATTTGGTTAGACACGTAAGTTGTCAGATATTCAGAACCTCTAATTTACTGTTCCCAGATGTGACACGTTCCTCAAAATACTGGGGGCACATGCACTTTCTTGTGCCCAAAGTTTTCTATGCACCTATTCCTAATAATGAACTTCAAACCCTTAGACATTTACGAGGGCCTGGAAGGGGGGGTCCCGACAAACCTCTATGCTGAATTCGGAAACCTATCGATTACGCCTTACGATAAATTCCATAGTGGCTACAACGCATTATGTAGAATTAAAACGGCAAATACGCTCTAGGCAAAATGTGCCAATTGCGCTCTACGTTGACTTAGAGCAGTCCGTCTACACTCTACGTAGAATTATAACGGCCGATTACGCTCTACGGAAAAGGGCATGCGGGCCCCCATTTACAGACACCAATGATAAACTGTAATTTCCATCTTGCTGTGCAGGTGGAAGCCCAGAAGGTGGCCATCAGGCGCTCTGCAGACGCTTTCCAGGCAGACATGAGAGCTATGGAGCAGAACATCAAAGAACAGCTGACCCTTCTGGACAGCCAACTGGAGGGGTCCATACAGAGTGTGGAGACCATCAAGACTGAGCAGAGAAATTTTGAAGTTCAGTTTCAGGAGATGTTGGCTGCCCAGTTGGCTGCGCAGCAGACATTTCTGGCTTCCCACCAAGCAAGCATGAGCAGTAGAGCTGAGCTGGTACAAATGCTATCTTGACTTGTTAAGAAATACGGAGCAGTTAATAGACAGACGCAAAAATTCTACACAGGGCTATGTCACCACTAGTCTGTGCTATGCAATCTCTTGCTGTTGGGGGCAGGTTCTACCTCCTTCCTGAAAGCCCATGACCTGAACTGTCAATATAGTCCATGGGCCAGACAAGATTTTGTTACCAAATCAAGGGACAAAACGCGAATGCCTTTATGTGATAGTCCTCCCCACAAGGTTTTTGCAAATGTATGATAACCATGTTGAGTGCCCAGCTTTGACCTTGCTATCTGACCTTGAACTTTGACCCCATGGGGACCATTTCCTTTCCTACTTATAATGCAAAGGGGAGTGGCAAATAATCAAATATGGATATTTTCCAACGTTACTTGGTGGTCAGATAAAACAGGAACAAAGGATTACAAAAATGTCAATTTTGTTCCGATATGTCATTTCTAAGAGAAGTTATGAGCTTTTGAAATTTGATTTTTCGGTAAAAAATTGGTAAAAAAATGGAATGTTTACTTTTCAAAACCTGTCAATAATAGGAGTTTAGGGTTCTAACCACTATGAAAGTCAGCCCAATAGAAGCTCAGTGTTCTGTCACTATGGAAACCAGTCATCACAGTCTCCAACACTGTGGTAACAGACAGTTCTCGGTCTGACAATAATAATTGACCCATGGTACTGTAGCACATACATGACTAGCAAATCAAATCAAAAGGATTAAGATGTTCCTAATTCTCCTGACTTAGAGTTAGAGGTAGTGTCCATCAACCTTCCAGGGGCCTGATGAGTAGAAGGACTGCTAAGCTTTAATATCTTGTCACAGTATCAGTCCACATTTTTGTGATTGTCTTTTGTTGCAGATGAAGACAGATCTGACCTCTATCAGACAGATCCCAGACACACTGACCACAACAGTACACAGGTAAGATACCACTGATCTGGTCAGCAAGATCTCGAAAGTTGGATGCTAATTTCTTCATCCAGTTAGTAATATGTAAAATATACATGGTTGTGTACTCATCATAATCATAGTACTGTTCTCGTGTTGATTTTTGTTCTAAACAAAAAAAAAAGAAAACAACATAATTTTGTATTCAACTTTTCCTTACTTACAGAGCCATTTTACCACTAGTACCAGATGATTTCTTTATATAGAGTTACAACTACTCTCTCTTTGTGACTCATGGGGGGAAACAAGATATTTTGTACATAACCACACAGGCTATAGATAAGTGTAAAACAGTTGTCTGATGCCACATCCTGGTAAAACATTCTGCATTTACAGCTCATTCAACCAGACAGCCGGGCAGCTTCACCAGCACATGTCAGACATTGCCAGTGGAGCCACAGACTTCCTGCAAGAACAAACAACAACTTTTGAGCAGGTAAATAAATTGATTCTGCTGCTACTGTGATGTGTTAAGGCATACCAAAAATTTGTTAAGTACATGTTTGTGTACAACAGTCTTAAAAACACATAGAAGGATCAAAAGATTGAAACAGTCGACTCCAAGTATGTTTTGTCAATGTTGTATTTTTTTTTGTTCCTATAGGATGTGCAGCTGGGAGCCAGGTGTGAGAAACAGATGGTCACTGCCCAGGACCAGACAGCTGTGTTTGTCCAGGTACTAGTGCTGCATACCTAAACCCACATTTAGGTTCAGGTCCGGATTCAAGTCCAGAAGTTTAGGTTCAGTTTCGGACTTGTAAGTCCGGACCTAAACCATGACACATACAAAATTGCATGTTGGCAACCTTGCAATGTTGTCTGGGTGAAACCTTGGCCACATAACATGGAGGCCAGTACTTGACGATGCTCGATGGCAATGTTTTCTTCATTTTGCAGCACAGATTTTGCAATCTATGGAAAGTTTTATGTGATTTGGAAAGAAAGGGGTATGTAAAATGGTCTTTTATGGAAATGAGTCTGGACTCGGTTCTTGACTTTTAGGTTTTTTTTACTTGAACCTAAACATTGTTACAAGTCCGGATCCAAGTCCAGTGAACCGGTATGCAGCACTAGTTGGTACAAATGTACTGGCAGTGCATGTAGCTTGATATTTCAACCTTAGCTCTGCAAGCCTGAATGTTCTCTGCTCTTGCATTGTGTAGTTTGTAACGCCATATTGACACGTTTTAATATGCTGAAATTTATTCTTCATACAGTCTGTGGAAGAACATGAAAAAGACCTCCTGACCAGAGTGGAGACACAAGTCAAGGTAGTGGAGGAAACACAGCAAAGTCATGGACAAGCTGTTGAGGTATGCTGCACTTAGATTAACTAAAAAAAACCTAGGTTAGGCCACACCAATTTAATTTGTTGGTTCTCGGATTCGCCTCTTCATTTTTTTCTGATTTGCAAAAAAAAAAAAAGAATTCTGGTTCTGAATAAACTCAAAAATAGCTCATAT